CACGCCGCACACACACAACACACACACACACACACACACACACACACACACACACACACACACACACACACACACACACACACACACACACACACACACACACACACACTTCACACGGTTCGCGGCCACATAGGGAGCTCCACCGAAGGCCCCAGCGGTACAGTTCGCACGCGTCCCCCCCGCGCACCGCAGGCTCAGGCGCGCGCCCGCGGTCGCAACCCCTCCTGGCATTTCTCCCCAAGACACCCAAAGACGACTGCAGCAGTCCTCGAGGACATCGTGGCACCCCCTCACGCGCAAGGCACCATGGAGAGGCCCATCCCGCAATGTTGCGAGCATAGTGAGTTCACGCGCATGTCCATCGACGCCGCGGCGCGGATCGCAGCGCCCCTAAGGGCCAAGCCAATTACACTGCAGGCCGGCGGAAGAAAGGAGTCGCTGCGCCCCCGGACGAGGCAGCCCAGAAGTCGGCCTTGAGAGCGAGAGGTCGCACCGGCGCAGTGCTCGGGATGCGACTAATCCGAAGCGAGACGGCCAGTCATGTCGCCGACGCTTTGACCGGGCACTTCCCCCAGGACTATCGCCAGCAAGTGGTCGCCATCTTTTCGGATAGCCCCTCGAAGCTCACGTTCGCGACATTGCGGAGGGTGTTCCCTGAGTTTTTTTCTCTGCCTGGATGCAGCGCGCACGGCGATCGCGCATCTCCGGGCGCGCTACCGCAAGAGGGCAGCTGTTTCGCTGCGCATCCGAATTACCACGCACAAACTAAACAAAGCGGACACGTCTTTCAACGCAGGGTCATGGGGGCGCCCGCACAGCGGCGATGGGGGCGCGGAGTTGGCCGAATTCGCGCCAGCATCGACCCGGATGAGCCAGCCGTCCGCGACGCGGTTCGAGTTCGCCGCAGCCCCCGCATCTTGGACCGCGTTGTTCTCGACGGAGGTCGAGCGCGAGACCCGCGCGAATTCCCAGGCGCCGGCGAAAGTGACGCGGCGCGCTGTCGCCGCCAGTTGGGCCGAGTGGTACTTGAACAACTAGAGGTGTAGACGCGCGGCGCCGAGCTCTATCCGTTCGCTACTGGGCGCCGGGACTGCTCAGCGCGAGAGCCCCCATCATGAAGTGAACGCTCGGTGTCGGAATCAGCCCGAACTGCGCGCCTCCATTTTGCAGCTCCAACTAGGCGTTAAATGTTTGGGCGAGCTGATTTCGCGCAACGTTGCTGCACACTCCCCAGGCCAGCGCCAGCTTGATCAGGAAACCACATTGTCGGCTGCGGCAGCGAAAGTGGACTTCCCCTTATGCTTATGGGCAGACTGGACCAAATAGCAGACGCCTGACAGTGGAGGGGCACAAGCCGAAGCGACACTGCCATCGGACGAGCGGCCGAGGGCAGCTGCGCCGCTGAAGGCGAAGCGGATCCTCCGCAGGATCGTCAGCAAGCGCCCTGCAACCAGCGCAGTCGCGAAGAAGAAAAAAGTAGCAAAGCGGATTGTCTCTATGAAGCACCGAGTCCGCTGAGCGGATCTCCGAAGCGGTTCGTCGGCGCGCTGTGTGCCTCTTGAAATGCGGCCCGCTCCCCTCGCAGACAAATGCGCTATTCGCGTTGCGCCAGCTTTGTCGTCATCGCCATCCGTCCGCCAGTACGCACCACGCCGCCACCGCCGTGTGATATTGTATAATTGTCAAACAGCCGGCGGTTCAGCACCCCACTGCGCGCCATAGCACGGCACGGCAATTTTGTTGAACAGCAAGCAACCAACCGACCGCCATCCGCGAGTCAGAGACCATGTCTGTCCACGGTTTTTGTTTTTTTGTTTCTTCTCAAGAGGGAGAGGCGGAAAGAGAGAGGAAGGGGGGGCACGTGCCCGAGCCGCCAGAGATATTGAGAGAGAGGGAGAGAGAAAGAGAGAGAGAGAGAGAGAGAGAGAGAGAGAGAGAAAGGGTGAACGAGAGAGAAAGACGGCGAGAGACGGGCGAAGACGGGCAGGGGCCAAATCGCCCCATACGTTCCCACACGCATATATATATATATATAGAGAGAGAGAGAGAGAGAGAGAGAGAGAGATAGACATACGCGGTCGCCCCCCCACCCACCCACCCACACCCCACCCCCACCCCCCCCCGCCCCAACCCCACCCCAAAGATCTACCTTTTAGTTGGTGTTTAAATGGACGTTTGGGTTGCCTGTCTCTCCTCGCATCTTCCTCGCCCCTTCCTCGCCGGCGCAACGCTGCACAAAGGCGAGAGAACTGCCATTGCCACCTTGCAGAGAAATCGGACCCCCCTCCCAGTGGCCAGGTTTTGTGAGACCCAAGACGTCTCTACTCCGCAATGCGTTTCTGGTTGCGCGCGCGGCCTCGCTTACTCGTAAGCCCCCATGCTTGCGCCCCTAAGCTTGCAGTCTGCAAGCTAATTCCCCCTCAAGCGGCTGAACACCTTGCCAGTCTCCAGCCACGGGTCCTCGTTGGCACGCCAGTAGGCGCACTGGGCCGATCGGACCCTGGCGTTCAATGACACCGAGCCAACGCAGCTCTCCCTGGCCATGATGAAGCCGCGCAAGTGTTTCCAGAACCTGTCGATGACCTGGGCCCCGCCCTTGCACTTGAGGACTCGTCCGCCAGGAAGTTCACGTTGCAACTTCTTGGCGCGCGTGGGTGTCACCCACACCTGGCGGCCGTCCTTCTTCACGGGCTTGCCATTCTTCATGAGCCGCTTCCACTGGTGCACGACGTGGTCGCGGCGCATCCTTTCGACCTTGGCCTCGTGCGTTTTCACCGTCCGCGTGGAGCACAACGCCCCTGTTGCTCAAGTTCTTGCGAGCGAGCGGCGTCCAATCAGGCAAGCGCATCGCGCTTGGGCCTGGCGCCCTCTGCCTGGTGAGACTGGGCTCGAGGCGCGTCAACGCCAATGTATTGCGGCTGCCCCTTTCGACAACACCGCCCCACTGCCCCCACTGGACCCGCTCGTTCTCAGCTCGCTCCGCGCGGTCAGGAAGTATATCGCCCCTGAGGTCGACCTCGTCGGCCTCGACATATTTCCACGTCTGCCCTTTATCTCCGAAAGTAATCGGTTTCTCCTGCTGCTGCACGCCGCTCTTTCGGCACGCATCATTGAACTTGCCCATGCTCTCGATCGCCGCGTGGTTCTGGCCCGCGAGCGCGCGGATCTTGGCAAGGGGGACGTTCTTCACGACAGCGAAAAGCACGGCGGACAGCTCCTGCGAGGGCACCTCGGCAACGCCAGAGCCGCTGCTGAAGACCATGCGCCCGCTCTGAGGCAAGGAGAACTTCTGGCAACCCCTGCGGTTGCAGCGGAACCGCGGTCCACGGCCCTGGACGCCCTTCAGGGGGCCAAGGATTCCTTTGGCGCAGAAAGAGCACGTCTGGCCTTCCAAACTCTCCAGGATCTGGTCCTCGAGCAACATGTCGACGACCTCGCGGTCACTGGCGCGTATGAAATCGAATACCTTCCTCTTGCAAGCAACGCGCTCGGGCCTGGACGTGCAAGTTCTCTTGCCGTGCCGCACGTAGGGCACCTTCCTCGCTCTCTGGCTTAGCGCCGTCTTTTTCGCCATTGTCTTTCCCGTGTGCTTCGGGGCTTTCCGCTTGGGCTCCCCCGTCTTCAGGACAGCGCGCGCCTTGCCCCGCCTAGGCGTAGGGAAGACGCGCCCAGGCGCCATGGCGCGGCTTTGGCCGACGACCCCGGCCAGGAACGGGCAGGCGCGCCTGATCCCTTGGCGCGCTGATGCGCTTGAGCACGCATGTGCAGCGCGCAGGTTTGGCATAGCTCGCGCGCCCTGGCGAATGGACAACAATGCACCAACGAACGCTGGTTGCTCGACCTGCAAAACTGCCTCTTGAGTTCACGGAAGAGACGACACGGGATCGGCGATGCACCACCGAGGGCCCCGATACCGAAGACGCGCGACTGGGGCTCCCCCCAGACGCCCTGGCCCCAATCGGCGATGCTCTTGTCGAGCGTCGTCGATGTGCCAACTGGCGCGATGCCGATGGCGGCGGCGACGGCGGCGGTGACGACGATGGCAATATTGACGGCGACGACGTTCCCTGTGGACGACGTGTTTCTGCACGTCGTTCTCCCCGCGACTGAACAAAATGATCGTCGGGCGCCCGTGCGGCGCGCGCGCGCCCGACAGGGCGGCCCTGCTCGCGCGCGGACTCGCACCACGACGCTCATGCGGCGGCACAAGAACTCAACCCAAGCCTCCTCGGTGACGCCGTCCAAGAATTCATCCAGGCCGACAACGGGAACGTCGTCGACGCCTTCAGGGGCGCCGCCATGGCCCGCGAAATCACCATCGATGTTGCAGTTATCAACGAAGTCGCTCTCGAAGCTGCAATTCGTGATGTCGTCCGCGGCGTCGCCTTCTGACGGCACCAGCGTGGCCTCGCCGTCGGACTCGGGGCCAAGGATCACGATCTCGTTGGCGCCGTTATCGTGCTCGGAGTCGCTGTCGGCCATGAGCTGCTCCGCCCACGTCGCCCGCCACGCGCCGCGGGGCTGCGGAATGGCCAACAATTGGTCAAGTTCGGCCACGGCGGTCCGCATGAGGCATCCGCGGCAAATGCGCTGCGACTGAGCGGGGAAGCCGATGGCAGGCACCCGCCCGCACGCGATGCAGGCCATGGTACTGGCCCTGTTCAAGGAGAGACCGGCCGTGCCCCAGGCGGTGGAAGGCGCGAGAGTCGCTTGACCAAAACGGCTACCGCGGGAGAGTCACGACCGACTGGCTGGACGACGTGTCTGAGCGCGCTGCAAGAGCGAATTCTGCTACCAACCGCAGCCAGATTCATTTGCTACGCCCGCTCGCAGCAACCCTCCTGGTGGCTACGAAGCAATGCTGGGGTGAGTATGCGAAAGGAGGGCGCATTGTTTTCCTGTCACGCTCGCCCCACTCGCGCGCGATCTGATGCCGATGCGGGAACTCATGGGAAGTGTTGCAACACGCATGCACTGGGACGGCACCCCCAACTCCTCGGGGACACAACGGCGCGCGCAATCTCGGCTGCGTGCGGCGACGCGCCCAGCGAACGCCGCTAGGCCTCAGCCCGCGCCGCCGCCGCCGCTGCTGCTCGACGGACCGCGGCGGCGGCCTCAGTCCTCGCCCGAGTCGGTCGCCGCGACACCCGTTGAGGGCGCAGAAGCAAGGCGGCCGAATGGAGGCGCGCAAAAGAATCGCCCGCCACAGGTTGCCAGAAGGGCCAACCGTGCTCGCGACCCGACGGGGCGCAACTCAAGCGCACGCCGGTCGACAAACGGGCGGCCCTTTTGACGCCTCGCCTCGCGAACGCCGCCGACTTCTGCCCTCCCCGAGCCTGGAAAGAGCTCCTGCAGCGTCGCACTGCCCACGGGCGTCGCCGTGAACACCTCCTTCTTGGCAGCCTGCTCGGTCGAGCCCGCCGCTCTGCAGTGGCCCTCGGGGCCCCGCTTGGGGTCGGTCCGCGAGGCGCCCGCTCCCGCTTCGCACTGCGCACCCCCTTCTTGGCGGGCGCCAGCTTCTTCGCGGCGTCGAACTCATCATTGATCGCGCCCTTCTTCAAGGCGTTGAACTCCCTGAGCGAGATCGCGCCTGCCTGGTGGAGCCCCCAGAGTCGCTCGATCTCCCGCGCGGGGGCCCCTCGCGGTGGCTCCCCCTCGTCCTCGCAGTCGTCGCGGCCGCCCCCGATGCGATCGCACTTGAAGCCGCCCGCGAAAGGTTCGGGGCGCGCCGCGAGAGGGCCCTGGGCGTCAGGCTTCGCCCGCTTGGCTGGGGGAGCCCCATCTGGCGCGGCTGGGGCTGACATCGGGGCCTTGGGCACGGCGCCCTCTTGCGCTGCTGGGGCTGGCATCGCGGCCGCGGGCGCGCCGCCCCCTGGCGCGGCTGCCGCGCTGCCCCAGATGCCCCCCAAGCCCAGCTTGCCGAACCGCTGGGGCTCGGCGGCCGCGGCAACGCCCCCCGCGCCCGAGTCGTCGTCCCCCAGGAGCTGTACCAGCCAGTTCTGTCCCCACATCACGTCCTGGTCGCAATCGGCCCCGACCTGGCGGTTGCCTCCTTTCCACAAGCTAACGCGGCGCATGCCGTCCGTGTTGATGAAGTTCGACCCGCCCAACACAAAGCACGGGACGGGCTCAGTGCCCTCAGAGGCGAGGCGGTGGAGGACGTAGACCTCGCCGTCGGCGCGCGCGAAGTTGAGTGTCAAGCGCGATCGCTTCAGGCACGCCACGAGGTTGGCTAGAGTCGTCCCCGGGAGGAAGGTCGTCGACACGGCGGCCAGAGAGCCCTCGCGAGAGATCGACGGGGAGCCGCCGATGGTCGGGCGGAGCGTGGCTGGGTTGAACGCGTCGTCCACGATCAAGCGAGGCTGCCCCTGCGCGCATTTCGCGGCCCCCCAGCGGGCCCAGATCGTCGACTCGTCATCCCCGACGTCCGCGAAGGACATGATGGCCCGAACGCGCTGCTCGTTCAGCGCCCCGTCGTCGCACGCCCAAGCACAGCTCTTCTCCCCTGGCTGGCCGCGCAAGAAGTCGAATTCGCCGCGCGCTCGCCGTCGATCTTGCGCGCCCACCGCCTAGCGAGGGCCAGGGCGACTGAGCGACCCACGAAAGTCTTCCCGATCCAAGGCTCGCCAATCATCATGAGAGCATGCTTGCCCATCGTCTTGTTCATGGGCTCGAGGACGCCGGCCAGGAAGGAGCGCTCGATGCTGCGCAACGTGACGGGGCAGACAAGATGCCCTCGGCACAGCGCCGCCTCGTTTGCGACGCCCCTCATAGTCTCTTTCACAAGCGACCCCTACCACCCGGAAATCAGGCGGTTCTCGTTGTTCCGCTCCTTGGTGATCCACCGAAGGTGGCTCTTATTCTGGATCAGACGGGCATGCTCCTCGATGCAATCGAACCCCTGGTCAACTTTCGACTCGTCCATGAGTTCTCTTTGATTGTTAAGGCCGCGGTGGTCGAACGTGGAGTACCTGATCTTCAAGCCAGGCAGGTGCATGAGCAGGTGCTGCAGCGCCTTCGCCCCTGAGTTCTCATGGGTGCCCCGCGCGATCTCACGCGCCTGGCCAGCGCCAGTGCTCGGGGGGCCGTGGATGTTGATATTGTTCTTCATGATGTAGCGCTTGATGATGTACTTCCCGCCGTCGCCCCTCGGCACCGCAAACAGCTGCATGGTGCAATCGCTCGGGGGCTCCTCCTCCAAGCGGAAAGGCATGGGCAGGTCCTTGAATGTCTTGCGACGGAAGTGCTCCAAGATAGCGTCTCTGTCGATGTCTTCGCGGTGGTCGGACACGATGTCCACGAAGTGCACGACCTTCTGCGTTGGGCCGCCCGCCTCGGTGTCAACAGGTGTTAAAGGGAGACCATCGGCAGGGTTGGTGGTGCCCGTCTCGTCGTCTGAGAGGATTGGAAAAGTCAGCCTGTGCATGGCGAGGTTCTGAACGACCGTCGCCGCCGCGATCATCGCAGCGACGCGCGGCGCCGCGGGGGGGGGGGGGCGGGCGCGCGCAGGGGCGCAGCGAGCCAGGCGGCGCCAGGGCGCCTCGTCACTTGAGTCACAACTCGAGCAAACCTCATAAGATGAGAACAGTGCGTTGCTACCACAAAAAATTATGAATGCATGTTGTTGCAGGGTATCCTCTGGGCCTGTGGGCATCGAGATACAAGCGTCGGCTGCGACTCTTTTTTTTCTTTGCCGTAGGAATCCACGGTACCGCGGCAACCCAGGAACAGGGTATAGACAAATGTGATTCTACAACAATTACGGTTGACATATGTTGTTTGGGGGTCTCTTTTGGGCCTCTGGCAATCGAGATGCGAGCGTCGGTATCGCAACTGTTTTTTTGGCCGAAGGAATCCATGGCCTCGCGGCCAGCAAGCGGCATGAGATGAGCGAGTGTGTTGTTACTACAACCACGGCTGACATATGTCGTCTGTGGGCCTCGTTTGGGTATCTGGTTGTCGAGATGCGAGCGCCGGCTGCGCAAATGCTGTTTTTTTTTTGCCGTAGGAACCCACGGTTTCGCGGCAACCCAGCGACAGGATATAGACATATGTGTTTTTATGTGTTTTTACAACAACTACGGCTGACAGGTGTTGTATTGGGGTCTCGTTTGGGCCTCTGGCGATCGAGATGCGAGCGTCGGTTTCGCACATGCTCCTTTTGCCGAAAGAGCCCACGGCATCGCGGCAAGCAAGCGACATAAGATGAGCGAACTGTGTTTTTACAACAACTACGGCTGACATATGTTGTCTTGGGTTTTCTGTTGGGCTTCTAGCAGTCGAGATGCGAGCGTCGGCTTCGCACATGTTTTTTTTTTTTGCCGAAGTAACCCATGGTCTCACAGTTCTCCTCTGGAGCTTTGTTTTTTTGTTTTTTTTTAGACTGTTACAGGGATGAGAGGGGTGGCTCTTGGATTGCTTGGGGTCTGTTGGGGACCTCTCAGGCGGGAGCCTCGCTTTGAGCGTTTTTGGGGGACTTTTCAGGCGGAAACTTCCTGTTGGATTTGTTTTTGGAGACCTCCCAGGCGTGAGCTTCGTTTTGAGTGCGTTGTTTTGAAAAACTTGACAAACCAATGAAATCACAGGAAGAGATCATAATCGTATTCATATTGAGTAATGGTGAACGAAGCGGGTTCGTTGAGGAAGGGAGGGGGGAAAAAGGAAAGGGGATGACTGGAACAGGGCACGGAAAAGGTGTATATATATATGACATACGTACGTATATACATACATACATTCATACAGACATATACTTTTATGCATACATATACATCTGCTTATATGTAGAAAACGGACCGCGGGTCAGGCTAGTCTGGCCCGCGTTCGCGCGTTCGGGTTTCTTGCCCGCTCGAGTCAGCCCCGCCTGTAGTCGGTGCCCTTCCCCTCTATTCGTCTGACTGCGGCCCTTCGGAGGCAGCCATCTTTCGAACCGTTTACGTTCCTCCCCCTTCACCACCACCACCGCTACCAGTAAATAGCTCTGCCCAGTAACAGCACGAGCGCGAAAGCAAGCGTGGGCGCATGCGTGCAGGCTGAAGACGCATCGGCGAGAGTGCCGCATTCTATGCAGAATTAGTGCACCCAAGGTGAGAAGAACAATGGAGCGCTCGATGTTTCCGGCGTGCTTTGCCCTCCCTGACCGCGCGCAGTTGAGCCACCCGCTTGTGGCCGTCGAGATGCCCACGGATGTCAAGCGGCGTGATTTACACGCCTGAACTTTGTTAACATTTATTTGCATGACCGCGCTCCAGGGGGCCCAGGGCAGAGACAGCCAGCCAGTTTGGAAAATAGAGGAGGGAAGATGGATCGGACCCGAATGATCGGGAAGAGGAGCAGCGATGGGTGACCAGCGTTTTCTCAATTATGGAAGCACTTGCGACGGACCCCAAGCAGTGCATTATTGTATTGTGGAGGTGGAAGGTATGCGGTGTAAGGTATGTGCGGAAAACTATGTCTTGGAAGTTGTGTGGTGTGAGTTGAGGAGGCGGAAAGTATGCGGTTTACGCTATGTGCCGTAAGTTATGTCGTGTGAGTTAGGCGGTGCGAATTTGAGGTGGAAGCTACAGGGTGTAAGCTGTATGGTGTAAGCTATGTTGTGCAATCTGTGCGGTTTATGCTATGCGTTGACAGCGATGTCGTGTAAGTTCAGAGTGCGGGGGGGCGCCCACGAGGCGGCACCGGCGGCAACGTGGCGCAATCTCGACATACCCCGCAGCGAACGGGGCGCCCACGAGGTGCCCGCGAGACGGCACGGGCGGCAACGTGGCTCAATCTCGGCATACAGTCAACGCGCCTAGCAAGGTCGCGCGCCCTCATCTAGGATGCCCTTGTGTCCCTGCCTCTGCGGCCCGTCCTTTGCCGCTTTCACTGGTCGCTCGTCGCCCAATATGTCCCCGATTCGGCCTCCAACGTCCCCGATACACGTTTTGATTTTACCCTCCAAGCGCCGGGCGCCCACGAGGCGGCACGGGCGGCGACGTGGCGCAACCTCGGCATATTCCCCAGGCGCACGATGCGGCACGGGCCGCAACTTGGCGAAACCCCGGAGTACCAACCAATTACCTGAACGAAGCGAACCAGGAGCCCCCAATGGCAAGCATTGTGTTGGGAATCGTGGTTCAAGTAGACGCCATTGAGGATGCAGGCGCCGCCACGAAGGAGTGACGAGTTGTGAAGCCCACGGACAGATTTCGAGAGGTTCGGGGGATGAAGAAGAGGACAACATCAATAGCAGAGGGCGTTCGAGGGGTCTGAGACAGCCCATGAGAGCCTCAACAACCACGGGGAATGGCCCAGAATTGACAAAAGGCCCCGAAGACAATTCTAAATGGCACCCACCGGTATAAATCGCGGTTGAACAGGGTAGAAAAGGGAAGGCGATACGAAGTAGTGTTCGGCCCTCACGAGGGGAATCCGGCGGCTCTTTGGGGGCGTCCAAGACAGTTCCAGAGTGAGCCGACGCCAGCCCAAGAGGGCCTCCAGAGGCCTCCCAGACGGTCCATGGAGAGGTCTCATACAGGGCCTGGCAGCGTCCAGAAGCCATGCGCGCGAAGGCAGCCTTTGTTCAGGGGCAAAGCGGTAGCCAGGGGCTTCCAGTCGGCAGACAGGGCACGGGCCGGCGGAATGCGCGGGCCTCACGGAGAACCCCAGGGGGGAGTTATAGTCTTGAGGAGGGGTTGAAGATAGGGAGCGTGCAGATGAGAGGATTGAAGAAGGACATTTCTGGCAGAACCATGCGGCCAGAATCTCGCACCATAGAATATGTGAATGTCGGCTTCCCCAGCGTACCCACTGCCCACGCATAGTTCTAGGGATTCGGACGTAGGCCCAAGAAGCTCCCCAAGATCCCTCCAACACACGCCTTCCCGAGGTTGCAAGGAAGGTACGCCCAAAAGATAGAAAAGAAGGAGGGGGATTGAATCGGATACTCCTACGGCGAGTCACCGCTGCCCCCTGCGTTTTGGACAAACCTATTGTGGCCAGACAAATGTCAAAACTCTCTCCCACCCCATTGTGGCCTCGACGACGACGACAACAACAACAACGACGACGGCTTTTGTTTCCAACTGCCGCGCTACTTTGGGCTACGCTCTGAGAGCGTTCCAGAACGGTCTCAGGTTCTGGTGCGCTCAACGGCCGCGCCGCCCGATACATCGATGCCTGTTATGTCTCAGAGACTCCCCGAGTTGTCCCGTCCCGATGGTGTCGTTATTTTGCCTCCGTTTTAACACGTGATGCCGTGTCTCATTTAGCCCCGTCGGTGGGGACACGGGAGGTTTGCCAGAGCATGGCATTACTTCCAGCTCCTCCTTTGCTACGCCAATTGTTTCTCCTCTCAGGTGTTCGATCATGGCCCGATTGGTCAGCGCGACCGCCTAGCTCTCGCGCAGACGCCACCGAAGATCGATTGGTAACAGTGGGTCCTTCCAGTCAAGACGCTGAAACAAGAAACTGTTCGGCATTCGGAAGAGGATCGTAGTTCGTGTGGTATATATACCCATGGTTGCTCATCTAGCGTTCCTCGTGTTTCCCAGCGCTCTGGGGGGGGCAAGGAAAGTTTGGTTCCTGATCTAGCATTATTCGTTGTAGTAATTCATTCAGCTCTGTCGACCACTAGGAAACTCACCATGCATGCAGCCTGCGTTGAATCTGCGCTTGTGCACAGCCTGCACACTTCTCGGTTACGAAAGCACGAACTATCGAGACTGAATGTATTTCAGGCGCGCCGCCTGCGAATGATTTTTGGCATTTCGCATTCATATGTCAGTCGTTTTTCCAACGCCGCGGTTCTGCAGAGAGCCCATCGCATACAGTTCAGCGATCTCCTCTTGCAGCGGCAATTGATTTTGTTCGGAGATATTGCACGAAAGGACAGCGATCACGTGCCGCTGAACGTGGCGATGTGGGCGTGATGCAACGATGCTTGCAGTCTCTGCCGCGCCTTCGTGCTGTCGCGCAGTCGCCCGTGGAACTCGCCGGGTGCAGGGGCGCCGGTCTGGACCCCTACCGCCGCCTGGTCCTGGAGCTGGCCCGCGACGCTGCCGTTGGTGAGCTCACTGATCTGCGGGATCAGATGGCCACGCTACCCGAGGCAGAGGCGCAAGCACGCCGGGGCCGCATCCACCGCGCATTGTCGCGCCTTTCGCCGGGCCGCTCGACGAGTCTGGCGGGGGTGGTCGGGCCGGCGGGCGAAGCGTTAACTGCACCGAGCGCCATGGCTGCTGCCTTGCGCGCGCACTGGGTTGGGGTATTTGCAGAGCGGCCTGTGGACGAGACGTTGCTGGAGCAATGGGTGGCCGAAGACTCGCCCCCGGACACGCAGCCGGCAACTGCGCAGCAGTGGCGCTTACAGCGACGACACGTCGAGCACGCGCTCGAGCACTCGCCGAAAACCGCCCCGGGGCCAGACGGCCTCCCCTTCGCAGCTTGAAGACGTCTGGGGCCTCTCGCGGTGGACGTGTT